TGTCTTTAGCTCTTATGGGAATATACCTAGAAGGAGAACATCTAGGTCAAATAGAATTTTTATTTTTAGCTCTATAAATGGGAAAAAAATTGGCAGCTATTCCTCAGAGGAATAATATCTAGAATATATAAAGAACCAAAAAAGAATTCAGATCACCTAAAATAAAACACCCAATCAAGAAATGGGCAAGTATAATAAACAAATATTTCTCAGAAGTACAAATGACTAACAAACATGAAAAAAAGGTTCAACATCTCTGGCCATTAGAGAAATGTACATTAAAACAATGCTAAGCTTTCATCATACACCAGAAAGAATGGCAATCATCAAGAAGTCAAAGAATAACAAATTCTGGCATGACTGTGGTGAAAAAAGAACCCTCCTACATTGATGGAAATGTAAACTAGTACAACCATTATGGAAATCAGTATGGTGATTTCTCAAAGAACTAAAATTAGAAATTTCATATGACCCAGATATTCCCCCTCTAGGTATCTTCCCCATGAGCTAAATACATCATACTACAGTAATACATGTATATCAATGTTTATAGCAGCACAATTCATAATAGCTAAACCTGGAAACAGGCTGTATACCCATCAACAGATGAATACCTAAAGAAAATATGATATTTATACACAATGGAATCACTACTCAGGTATAAAGGATAAATTCAAGACATTGGGGCAGGCCTCTCTCTGGCCCAAGTCTGGTTGGTGGAGGGGTCCTCTGCCCATGGTACCTGCTGCAGAGGAGAAAGCAAGGATGTAACTTTTCACAGTGTTTGGAGGTGGGTTTTGTGAGGATAAGGGTAGTGTATGCAAAGTCTGTCCCAGGAATCTGGTCTCTATACACTAGATTGGTCCCTTGGGCTTTTTGCTTCACTATCAAAATAGCTGCTCCCCAGAGGAGTGGCAGATGGGGGCAGGTGGACCTGCCATGGCAGCACCATTTTCCTTTTTCCATTGTCCATTTGTTTGCTTTGATCTACACATACCATCTTTCCTATTCATTTTCTGTTTGAGTGTGAAAGCCCTCCTACCTTCAGAATATCTTCTTTCTCAGTGAATCCTCTCCGAGCTTCTCCCATACCACTCCTCCTCTAGTCAGCCAGGTTGAATCAGTCCTCTACTTATAGCATTCTAAGGCTTCTCTAGATTGCATCTCCAAATCTTTCCAAACTCGTCCCATAAACCAATTCCAAAGGCTTCTGAACCACAGGGTCAAGTGCAGTCACAGCTATGACCTCAGGTCTCTGGTACCAATTTTTTGTATTAGCTTGCCAGTTACTTTAACACAACACCTGACACTGAAAACTTAAAGGAGAGGTTTAATTTGGCTCATGGTTTAAGGCATTTCAGTCCATGACCAACTGACTCCAAGGCAAAAACATCATAGCAGAATGTTGTGGTGGAGCCAAGGTGCTTAGCTCATGGCAGCTGTGAGGCAGAGTAAGAGAACAGTGCCAAAGAAGAAAGGGCAAGATTCTAGACATAGACTCCAAAGCCCTGCCTCCCTGACCCACCCATACACACCCAGAAGTGTGCTCCAACAAACCTGGTACATCTCAAAGCTAATCCAACTGATGCTCCACCCTAAAAGGCAGAGGAAAGAAGAGCAAATTCTTTCTCTTTATTTTTGAGATTGGACATTCATCTTCTGTCCTCAGGCATCAGTCTATCTTCTATCTATCATTCTTTCAGTCTTTTCTCTGCAGACCCCCTGAACCATACAAACATTCTTACATGTCTTTCTGTGTACATAGATATTCATTACTCCTCGGTAGGTTTCTAGAAGTAGAACTTCTAGGTCATAAGAATAAATGTACATAGTACTACATCATATTTTAAATTGTATTTCCTTGTTGAGTAATGATTTTTAACATATTTCATGTTTATTGGCCATTTGGATATGCTCTTGAAGGAAAGATCTGTTTAAGTCATATATATATTTATTTTTAAAAAGTTTTGTGATAAAATGTGTACAACATAAAATTTGCCATTTTAATCATTTTGTAGTGTACAACTCCATGTTTATGCCTATTTTTGTTAGATTTGTATTTCTTCTTTTAAAAGGCATTCACAATATATAATACATTCACTCAGTATTCAAAATTTGTGGCGTATATAATGATATCAATAATACAGATATAGATAGATCAAATGTCTTCACAGTATGTACCCTGACTTAATATTGTCCTTAAATGAATACAAGTTCAAAATTTTATCAAAGGCCAAATTACCAATCTTTTCTGATTAGTGATCTTTGTATCCTGTTTAAGAAGTCAACTACCCTAGAGACATGATGATAGTGACTTATTTTCTTCCAGAGGACTGTTTTTCTTTCACATTTAGGGCTATGATTCATTTTCTTTTATCTTGAAGAGTAACATGTTTGCAATTGAATATTTTCATCAGTCCACTTTCCTGCCTATAAATTTTGGGGGTTTGAAAACCTTCTTTCATGTCATCTACCTTTCAGTCTAAGCTGGTAGTGTTTCTGCAGTATAAGATGCTCAAAAACCTGTGGGACTCTCACATGTCAATAGGATCCATGTCAATAGACAAGAGGATTCTCTAAAGATTCTCTGTGGATAGCCTATCTCTATTCTTGCTTTTCCTGACATAGCTGACTGGGTCCATGAGTCATACACCTAATACCTCTGACAAACATTTGTTCATGTTCTGGCTATTCTCCACATATGTTGTCATTTTTTGTAAGTGGTTGTGAATTTCCCAAATCCAAACAAATCTTACCTGAAATTCTTAACTATATATGCAAAGTCCCAATTGACAAATAATTTCACTGTAACAATTTTCTAGGTCTGCCATAACAAGATACCGCAAATGAGTGGCTGAAGCAAAAGAAATTCTCGGGACCCTGTTGCTGTGATGGTGAGATATGGGGTAAGGAAAATACTCTATTATCTTTATGATTAAATCTCCGCCTTTTGGCGTGTCTATGTCCCTGAGCTGTGACCTTAACAATTTTTTTTATATTTTCCACCCCTATTCCCTTAGGTGAGAGAAGAATTCTGGGAGTAAGTGTGGGAGAATGCTCTCCCTCCAGGTAGTAGGAAAGCTCTGGTAAGGTCTTTTGCCCTTAAGGGTAGTCTTTGTTACAGAGAATACCCTGGGCTTCTTTCACAGTGAATACTCTTCCCCTTTCCTGCCAGCGCCACTAGAGGTCCTTCTTGGCTTTTCACTGAGAATCCAGAGAGGTGAAGTGTGGGCATCCACCCATAACTATGGCTCTAGGAGTTTCTCACCCTCCAGTTAGTCAATACCCAGGCTACGGCAATTTGCCAGTATTATGATTTAATTTTTCCTAGCAGTTAGCATATGGTTATGGGGGCTTCTGCTCCAGCTTCAGGTAAGTGACCTTGACTGGGACTTTCTGGATTTCCCTGTCCTTCCATATTTCAGGTTAGCATTCTGCCCTGTATCCTCTATTCTCTGATGGAAAAAAAGATGTGTATATTCCTTTGTTTGCTGAAAGTTTTAAAACTGCTTACCTTCCCAGGCCATTCTTTTACATAATCATAGCTTATTTTACATCATTTTAGTAAGATCTGGCAAACCACCTGAATTATACAAATAGATCTCTTCCAGTTGGACTACTATGGCTCTTCCAGTTGGACTACATTCTTATGTAAAACATTTAAGACAGACAATTCTACTTATGAGTAGGAAATCACAAAATTACATTTCAAAAATGTTACTTATCCATTGCAGCAACTATAAAGAAAAATTATTGTAGGCAAGCATGGTGGCACACACCTATAACCCCAGCACACCAGAGGCTGAGGCAGGAGGATTACCACAAGTTCTAGGTCAGCCTGGGCTACATAGTAAGTTCAAGCCCAGCCTGAACTACATAGCAAGACCCTGTCTCAAAAAAATTATTGTATAAAAATAATTTATCAAAACTTTAAAAATCATTTCCCCATGGGTCAACTTAGGAAACATCTTTTAAATGATTAAATAAAACAATTATTTAAAGAATACTTTTAAGTTGGGGAATTGTACTAATAATATTTTAACTACCAAATGGTAAAAATTAGTCTTTAAAAAAACCCATTTGTGATAATTCACATTCTTATTTATAATTGAATTTAACAAAACTGAAAGTTGGTTCCTAAAGAAGCAAAGATGTTGATTTTTATACAAGTATATTTAAAATAGTTAATGTAGTCACAGTCAGAAACAGGTACAGTAATATTAAATAATACCATCAAGGAGAATTTTAAAGAAGTATATTCATCATTTTTTACAAATAAAAATGTGTTTTTTTAAATGAGTGTTTTTAATGATGGATATTTTTCTTATGTAAGTGTAAGCATGGACATCTAAAAGTGTTCTGCTGGGCCTGGGATTTAGCTGAGTGGCACTGCGCCTGCCTCTCAAGGGCAAGGTCCTGAGTTCCATCCTCAGTACCAAAAATAATAATAATAATAAAATGAATTAAAGTGTACTGCTTATGTTTCAGAAGAGGAAAAAAGGATTGCTCACAGGATTAAGAAATACAAAACCTAAAAACAAAAGCATCACTTCTTCCAAAATAACTCACAGTTGTGAAGATTTTCTTCACATGAACTATTCATAAGAAATATATAGCATATCCCCATTTCCCTGTTACCCTTTCTAGTAAATTTTAATTTTTAAAATTAGCATAAGCAAAATAATTTTTTAAAGTTGGAGTAGGAACTGCTAGGCATAGCTTGGTGGTACAGTGCACGCAGGAGACCTAGGTTAAATCCCCAGCACCAAACAATACCAATAGCAATCTAAGGATTTGAAAAATTTTAGAGTATACTACTATGTTTTATAAATTAATAAATTCCACTTAGGTATTGACAATACCTATTACTTAATTTAAAACTGTATTTTAAAGTTTTCTACATTTAATTATTCTGAATAACCATGCAAAACCCTTTTGCACTTGTACATGAAGTATACTGATAGTGAAATATTTGTTTATGTTTCCAAAGGTCGCCTTACCTGAGGAGTCCAATAAAAAGTGGGGCTCAATCTATAGAGTTTTCGTTTTTGGAAACTCTGAAGTGGTCTTGTTCGGGCTGCTGTGGTCATGATAGTCAATCTTATCCTGTCTTTTTTCCTCTTCTTACTGTGCTTCTGATTAAGTAACCAGCTAGTGGAGGAAGAGAATTCCTCTAAATTTTCCGAAGAACTGAAATGACATGAAATAATTGGGGGAGGGGGTGTAAGAAAACCAAATGTAAATTGCCCTGGTCCATTGACAGAAGACCATTGGCTTTGCAAATAATTTGGGAGCTGATGAAAGAATTTGTATCAATATGGTAGTACATATTCAAGTGGCAAAAATAATTTCTACTCTTATTTTTTCCTGCAAAACAAATATCCCAAAAGTTAGACGTTAGACAATGCTCGCAAGTTTTCTAGTCTATCTCTGTTAGTTATAAATCAGTAATTCATATATATTACCTTTAATACATCAATTTTTTTGCATATGGGTGAAATTACATATGATTAAAAGCTAAAAAAATGCTAGTCTCAACACTGCAATGCTAGTTGCTCTTAAGCAATGAACAACATTTCAATGAATTCTTAAATAGTTGCTCACCTATTTTAGAAATTTTAAAAATGCTTTTGATGATCAGAAGCTGTAACTGTAGTGAAAACATCACATAAGCTATACTGAAAATAAGTATATTATAATTACCCTTCATATTAATTTTTAACATATTTATTTAATTTCACTTATGCTAGTATATTACATATACAATAAGCTTTTTAGGCACTATAAGTTACCAATTTCAAACTTATTTATGTAGGCTAAAGCTACTAAGTTTGGTATTCTAACATTATCAAGTAAATATGCTCTATGGAATACCCCACTAATCAACATATAAGTTCCAAATATGCTATTTGATTCAAGTAGGATTGGTATTTGACGGTAAACATAAGATATGGTTTCTCTAGAGCAGTGTTCTTGGTTTGGAGTAACATTTATGATTGTTATAAATTTTTTTTTTTTTTTGGTACCGGAGATCGAACTCGGAACCTTATGCTTGTAAGGCAGGTGGCGGAACCACTGACCTAAATCCCTGGCCCTGTTATAAAATATTTTATTAACTTGTAGAAAAGCACACAATTCAAGAATGCTTTACATATTAACAAAAGGAATAAACATACCTGAAAAGATTATGTTGGTGAAACCAAAAAGAGTACTTAAATGTGGAAGTTGATTACTACTGTAATACATTCAACAAATACATAGTGAAGTATACCTATTGGTCAGTACGGGGGAAAAGTTGATGACAACTATTTCACTTTTTTCTTTCTTTTATTAGTCCAGGTTTGTAGCACACAATGTTTACATTCCTTGTGTGGCGTTAGGACATGCACATCACACATCTCAATTCCTTTTTTCATCTCTTATCTCTCCCTTCCCTTCCCCTTTCCTCCATTTCTTTTTTTTTTTTTTTTTGTACCAGGGATTGAACTCGGATCCTTGCACTTTCGAGGCAAGTGACAGAACCACTAAGCTAAATCCCTGGCCCTCTTTCCTTCATTTCTTGATCCCCTTCCTATTTCATTTATCTCCTTACTTCCTATTATCTTTTAGTTTGCCTTTTATTTATACTTTGGATTTCTCATATAAAAGAAGCCATGTAATATTTAAGTCTGTATATCTGATTCATTTCACTTAATGGTCTCAAGGTACACCCATTTTCTGACAAATGACTCATTTATCTCTCTTTACGGCAGAATAGTACTCCATGTTGTGTAAATACCACATTTTCTTTACCCATTCATCTGTTGATGAATATATAGGCTGCTTTCAAGAGTTAGCTCTTATAAATTATGCTGATATAAACAGGGGCATGCATGCATCATTGTAATATGACGTCTTTATTTTTTGAAGATACTTAGAAGGGGAAAACCTTCATCAAATGGAATTTCTAGTTTCAGTTTTTTGAGAAATTTCCACACTGGTTTCCATAGTGGTTGCACTAGTTTACATTCCCACCAACAATATAGAAGGGTTTCTTCTCCTTAGCTTACCCAGCATTTGTTATTATTTGATTTCTTGATGATGACCATTCATGCTGGGATGTTATCCTGGTGTTCTCTTAATTTGCATTTTTCTAATGACCAGTGATGTTGATTAAGCATTTCTTCACTTACTGGCCATTTGTACTTCTGTGAAGTGTCTATCTTGCTTGCCCGTATTTTGATTAGACCTTTTATTTGGAGGGTTCTAGTTTTTCCTGAGTTCTTTATATATTCCAGATATGAGTCCTCTGTCTGAGGAATGGATGACAAAAATGTTTTCTCATTCTGTAGGTTGTCTTTTCATTCTGGTTTTTGTTTTATTTTTTGATTTTTGCTTTGCTGTGCAGAAGCTTTTTTTTTTTTTTTGGTACCGGGGATCGAACTTGGGACCTTGCGCTTGCGAGGCAGGCACTGGAACCACTGAGCTAAATTCCCGGCCCTGTGCAGAAGCTTTTTAGTATGACATGATCGTATTTGTTGTTGCCTGGAACTGCAACTGGGGCTCTGATCAGAAAGTTCTTGTCTATACCTATGACTTTAAGAGTTTTACCTATGTTTTCTTCCAGCAGGTTGTTTCCTTCTAACATTCAGTTCTTTGATTTACTGTAATTTAAATTTAGTACATGGTCAAAGATATGGGTCTACGGCCAGGGATTTAGCTCAGTGGATCGATCAGCTGCCTGCCTTGCAAACGCAAGGGCCTGAGTTCGATCCTGGTACCAAAAAAAAAAAAAAAAGATATGAGTCTAGTTTCAATCTTCTCCCTGTTGATAGCTAGTTTTCCCAATACCATTTATTAAAGAGGCTGTCTTTCCTCCAGTGCATGTTTTGTCCTTCTTTTCAAAGATCAAATGGTTGAATGTGATGAGTTTTTTCTGCATCCTTTATTCTGTTCCATTGATTATCCTGTCTGTTTTTGTGCCAGAATCACACCAGTTTTATTACAGTAGCTGTATAATATACCTTCTGGTCCTGGATTGTGATGTTTCCTGCTTTGCTCTTTTTACCCAGGATTGCTTTGGCTATTCTGGGTCTCTTCTCTTTCCATATGAATTTTAGCACTGTTTTCTCCAGTTCTGTGAAGAACGCTGTTGGACTCTTGATTGGGATTGTGTTAAATCTGTATATCAATTTCAAAAGTATGGGCATTTTGACTATATTGATTCTTCCTATCCAGGAACAGGGGATTTCTTTCCATTTTCTGATATTCTCTTCCATTTCCTTTTCAGAGTACTGCATTTTTTATCATATAGGTCTTTCACTTCCTTAGGTTAATTCCTAAGAATTTAATTTTCTTGGTCCTATTGTGAATGGTATATTTTTCCTAATTTCTTTCTTACTGAGATCATTATTATAAACACTTGTGATTTTTATGTACTTATTTGTATCCTGCTACATTACTGAATTTGGTTATTAATTCTAAGAGACTTTTGGTAGATTTTTGGGGGTCTTCTATGTAGAGGATCATGCCATCTGCAAATAATAATTTTACTTTTTCCTTTCCTATACATATCCCTCTTATTTCTTTTTCTTGCCTAATTGCTCTTGCTAATATTTCAAGGACCATGTTGAACAGAAGTGGTGATAGTGCACCTCTTTGTCTTGTTCCTGGCTTTAGAGGGAAAGCTTTTAGTTTTTTGCCATTTAATATGATGTTGGCAGTAGGTTTGTCATAAATAGCTTTTATCAGTTTAAGATAAGGTCCTTCAAGAAAAGGTGTAAATAAGAACCAAAATGTATAAAAGATAAGGTCCTTCTATAACTATTTTCAGTGTTTTTAGCATAACAGGATGTTGGATTTTGTCAGTCTTTTTCTGCATCTGTTGAAATGATCATGTGATTTTCGTCCTTGCCTCTGTTCATGTGATGTATGGTATTTATTGATTTGCATATGTTAAATCATGCTTGACTCCCTACAGTGAAGCCTACTCGGTCATTTGTATGATCTTTTTGATGATTGACTGCAATCAGTTTGCTAGTATCTTATTGAGGATTTTTGCGTCTATGTTCATTCAAGAGATTGGTCTAGGGCCAGGGATTTAGCTCAGTGGTGCTGCCGCCTGCCTCACAAGCTCAAGGTCCTGAGTTCGATCCCCAGCACCTCAAAAAGAAAAGAAAAAAGAAAAAGAAATTGGTCTATAGTTTTCTATTTTGGTTGGATTTTTATCAGGTTTTGGAATCAGGATAAATGGTAGCTTTTAGGGATGACTTTTGGAGTACTCCTTCCCTTTCAATTTCATTAAAAAGCTTGAGGAATTTTGGTATTAGAATTTCCTGGAGTTTTTGTAGAATTCAGCAGTGAACCTGTCTGGACCTGAGTTTTTCTTAGTTGTTAGGTTATTTATTACTGCTTCAATATCATAGCCTATTACTTAATTATGCAAAGTTTTAAAATCTTCTTGGTTCAATTTTTATAATTTACATGTATTCATTTCTTCTGAATGCTCCAATTTATTGGCATACAGGTTTGTGAGTTAGTTGTTAAAGAGGGGCTGGGGATTTAGCTCAGTGGTTTCGCCGCCTGCTGCTCAAGCACAAGGACCCAAGTTCGACCCCAGGTACCAAAAAAAAAAAAAAAAGTCTGAGAATTAGTTGTTAATAATGCTTTTGATTACAACAATGTCTACTGTGATTTCAACCTTTCCATGTCTAACTGCATTGACTGGGTCTCTTTTTTTGTTGTTGTTAGACTGGGTAAGAGTTGGTCTATTTATTATTTTAAAGAACCAACTCTTTGATTTATTAATTCTTTGCATTTTTTGTCTCAATTTCATTGATTTCTGTTGATTTTTATAATTTCCTTCCTGTATTAGCTTTGTGTTTGAATTGTTCTTCTTTTTCTAGGAACCTGAGATGCATCATTAGGTTATTTATTTGGGTGCACTCTGTTTTTGTGATGTGGGCATTCAGAGCTATAAGCTTCCTTACTAAAACTCTTTTGATTGTGTCCCATAAATTCTGGTAGCTTTTATTGGCATTATCATTTAGTTCTAGAAACTGTCTTATCTCTTCCTTGATTTCTTCTATAACCTATTGTTAAACTGTATTGTTTAGTTTCTATCCATTTGTATAATATCTTTGTTTTATGTAGTCATTGATTTCTAAGTTTGGACTATGATCTTATAATATTGGACTATGATCTTATAATAT